AAATTCAGTGATCTAGAAATGGCGGCAGAATCACTCAGCCATCGTAACAATCATACATATTGGTGGTCAAACAAGATAATTATGAACAGGTCAACACAACAAAACCAAAATGAGCGCAGCAGTAAACAGCATCTTTGAATAGTGGTTCAAATTGTATGCGCATCCGTTGTCGCCGTAATTTTGGCGCACCTCTGTATACCGTTAAGAAAGTCTGAACAGCGAAGTGAACATATATGTTTTTTGGAAAAAGAATTCAAAAGATCTGCGGTTGTTTATCTTTTCAAACTTGTTCACATCATATCAAGGTACCTTTCCGAAGGTACTGCTGGTGAAAATTCGGAAAGAGCTTGATGACAAATGGGGCAAACCTATATTTGCGGGACACTCTGTATGTAATTTTTCTCAGATATAAAGACTAGAGCATTCTCATATGCTGGACGTTTTACAATGAGCAACATTGCGAGAAAGCTGTATGTAGCCACTAGTAGCTCCGAGTACCATGTCTTGCAGCGTACGGCATTGTGAGCTGAGTAATCGCTTGCGCAATCCAATCGTTTTGCTAGGTAAAGAGGCACACCACGGATGTCAGTCATTGTCATACACTAGGACTTCACCTTTCATGCGATTCGAAACAAAAGTTTCTATGGAACGAGTGATTGAGCAGTTTATTCCAGGAAACGCCACCGCGTTCAAGTTTTGAAGAGTTCATCTAGACGTAGCGGTACTCCAACTTGGTAACAGTAGCGTAGACTCGGTTGTAGGTTATTACAGGGACAAGGTTTGAAAGCGATTCTAAGTACAGTGTTAGCGTCGTCTTTTGAGCAGAACCTAAACGAACAATTATATTAGGTTTTGCTTTAGTAAATATTTTGGTCCGGATTACTACAACTTCTACTTTCTTATAATAGGACGTGCATACCTGTAACCGGTTTGACGTTTGTCTGGATGGGTTTTTATTTCTACACCTGCATATGTGCATCCATCAACAGCAATTCCATCAGGGAAGTCCACAAATTTCACTTCTATCTTTTTGCCGGCCGGCGCCTTCAACTTCGATTGTGAGAAGACTAATTGTTTCTTTTTTGAGACCCACGAACCTTAATCCAGTAGTTGCATTGCATAAAATCTTCTCGCAGAGTGAGGCCAGCCTTTCGGTCTCCTAGATCGTCGACAAGCGGTTTCCACTCCTTGGTCGCTTCTAGTTCTGCACCGCAACCGGGTGGCTAGAAAAATCTTTCGGGGAATTTTGTAGTTCGACCAGTAAGAAGGGCAGTTACCCTTTTTCACAGTACTGTCCACCATATCCACTAGGGCAAATGCATTTGGAGCAATCACGAGGATGAGCGAATCCATAATTTTGGCATGGTGTGTTCTTACCTTTGCATGCGTCTAAAGCAGTGTTTCTATTGAGCACGTAAGCGTGAGCAGCAAAAATCATTCGAGATTCTACTTACCTGTGCAATTGTAGTGCGTGTTAATCATGAGCAAGTCGTAGTAAGATATGAATGGGGATCCTAGAGTCTCCGTGTACATCACATCCTTCGGCACCATGGTAGGTTTACCGTTTACAGTACCGCTAAAAGTTTGAATTCATCTCCTGTACCTCATAGTTGTCACTTCTCAAACCACTTCGACCTTGAGGCTCCGTAGTGCATCACGCTACCGTAGTCATATGGTTGACCATAATTGTTATTTGTTGAGATTGTTTCCCGTGTGAATTGGTCGAGATGTTCAGGCTAAAATCTCCAGCAATGTTGTCATCAAAGCTATGTACCATTTCACGCATCTTACCACTATATTTTGTTCGTCAACCGTAATATATTGGTCACGATCATATCTTGCGTGCGTGTGGAAGAATCCGAGGGCGTGGCCAATTTCGTGAGCAGCAGTTCCAACCTACAGTAGAACGAAACGGCATTTATTACACGTTAAAGTGGGTTCTTGGGAAAGTGCACCTCTCTATTGTCGTGTAACACGTTACTGAAAATACCGTGTTTCACAGGAAATCTTTACCAAACCGTACTTTTTCACAGCCTTCACCCAGGGAGAGGTTTTGCACACCACCAATTCTACCAACATAGGACCAACATCCATTGTCCGCAAACACTCGTATACTGTCTTCTGCTGAAACTCAGACGTACAGCGGAGTTCTGCTACTGTTTCCAATTATCAAAGCATTACCGAATTTGGTCGGTATGAAGTTGATACATGTATCAGACATCCACTGGTGTGCAGCTTTCTTGAACACACTTTGAACTTGCTCACCTGAATGAAGAAAGTATAGGGGTGTTCAGAAGAATTAAGCGAACAATCGTTAGTTCTCTGTTATATACATGAATAAGGAAATGTGAGACTAATCACTGACTCGCGCTTTCGTCGAAGAAGTAGCGGACTCCCTTCGTCCACCTCATACCAGGGTATTCTCCATCATACATAGTCTGTCGCTTAGAACGGATGCCGAGAATGTCTGCGATAACTTGTTTTTGTTGTTTCCTTAATATTACACAAATTTTCCACTGCTCGTATGGAGAAATCAAGTAAACAGACTTTGTGAGAACTATATCTCCCTGGAATAATTTGTCTGCAATTTTGCTCCATACGTTTGTCTCCTCAATTGAGTCTCCTGTCGGTAGAACTTTATCAATAGTTTTTCTTTTCAGCATCTGTAACAGTTCAAGAATAAAATCAATCATTAATATCCGAATTTCCTATCAGCTACCAACCTTCAGTCTTTCTACAAGCTCATTTCTTTGTTCCTTCGACAGGTGAAGCTTTCGCAACATCTCTTTTTTGTATCCGCTCAATTTTTTGCGGAAATCCATCATTTTGCTATTGATGACCTGTAAGGATAACGAACACTTGATAGTTACACCTTCCACGGATTATGAAAGATATTTTACCTCGGTTAATGCGATTCATAGTCTTTTTTATTCTTTTGTTGACTTCGTGCTTGATGAGCCCTTTGAGGCTTTTAACCAAGATTTTTTTCTTGAGGTCGAACAGGTCAGCGCTTACGCATACGGCCACAAGTAGAGTGAGTATAATAATCCTCATCCTGAAATGTAGAGCTCGAAAATTTACAAGTATGAATATACTTCAGATAGGGAAAACTGCTGAATGGTACAGTCGCATACTCCCACTCATATTTATACGATGTTTCTAGGCCTTGGTAATTGACATAGCGGGCGTGTTTGTCGTCGAATCATATCGGGCAACGTAAAAAATTAACGATACCAGCTGCCATTCTGGCTTATGCACTGTAACATGTTCAGAACATCGCAATGAACCGTTTCTTTGAATGAATAACGAGTGAAAGCACTTGGGAATACGTAAGAACTATTGTGAAGTATTCCCGCATTGTCCTCATTAGAGAACGTGCAGTTGTTGTAATCGTTTTGACTGGTGTGTCCCAGGAATATTGTAGAGCTGCCTTCCATGCTTTCGTATTTGTTACCAGTTTTGCTCCGCCCGCTATCGCGCGCATCACACGGCAGGCTTTAGCGAAACTGGAGGACCCATGGAATATCAGCATGAGGTACTCCATTAACCACCTCACTATTGAATGTGTTAGACCTTTCCCAGTTTCGCTGAAGTCCATCGAGAATACGCGTGATAACGTCTGGAGCTGAACTGGCATATTTATCTCACAACTGTAAACATCCAGCATTCTTCTTGAATTCAGATAATTTAGCGGTGAATAGGATTGCTGTCAGTCTCAAAATGAAAATGAAATATACTCGATATCCGAAAGTTGGGATAGGCGTGTCACGGAAATGACGTGGCCATTGCCGCACTTGATAGAAGCTGTGTGGATAAGCTGCTTCCAACATACATCGCTGGATATCAGCAAAGCATGCTGGCAACAGCTTATCAGTTGTAACCACTTTCCATCATGTACCACCAATGTCCCGGGACCACCCCACATAACACTTGTAAGTATAGACGCTCTAGTACCAATATGAACGACAAAACGAAATTGGCGATGCTCGCTTTCTAGCCCCTCTTATCAGCTATTATCAGTCGTTATCAGTTCCTATCACGTACCACTTGTGTCCCCATCCCACCCCCTATAACATATGTAAGAACCACTGCGCTATCATTACTGTGACTCGAGCTATGAATTTCCGGTCAAACACACACACACCAACAGACACACTTAGCCGCTCATATATATAGTAGGATTAAATCACTATGACTATGAAAGTTGGTACGTTAGTTGCAGTTCTGCTGTAGTCTCTTTTCTAGTCAAGACCTTATTGTATAAGCGCCTTTTTCTAGACTAAATCTATTCTTTTAAAGGCCTTTTTGCTACTAAAGAAGGCTCTGAGGTAGCACTAGTTCTGGTCCTTTAAAATCGAAAATTTTGGAGAAAGGCAAGACGGAGCTGTGGTGCTTTCACTCGTTATTCATTCAAAGAAACGGTTCATTGCGATGTTCTGAACATGTTACAGTGCATGTGTAAGCCAGAATGGCAGCTGGTATCGTTAATTTTTTACGTTGCCCGATATGATTCGACGACAAACACGCCCGCTATGTCAATTCCAAGGCCTAGAAACATCGTATAAATATGAGTGGGAGTATGCGACTGTACCATTCAGCAGTTTTCCCTTCTGAAGTATATTCATACTTGTAAATTTTCGAGCTCTACATTTCAGGATGAGGATTATTATACTCACTCTACTTGTGGCCGTATGCGTAAGCGCTGACCTGTTCGACCTCAAGAAAAAAATCTTGGTTAAAAGCCTCAAAGGGCTCATCAAGCACGAAGTCAACAAAAGAATAAAAAAGACTATGAACCGCATTACCGAGGTAAAATATCTTTCATAATCCGTAGAAGGTGCAACTATCAAGTGTTCGTTATCCTTACAGGTCATCAATAGCAAAATGATGGATTTCCGCAAAAAATTGAGCGGATACAAAAAAGAGATGCTGCGAAAGCTTCACCTGTCGAAGGAACAAAGAAATGAGCTTGTAGAAAGACTGAAGGTTGGTACCTGATAGAAATTCGGATATTAATGATTGATTTTATTTTTGAACTGTTACAGATGCTGAAAAGAAAAACTATTGATAAAGTTCTACCGACAGGAGACTCAATTGAGGAGACCAACGTATGGAGCAAAATTGCAGACAAATTATTCCAGGGAGATATAATCCTCACAAAGTCTGTTTACTTGATTTCTCCATATGAGCAGTGGAAAATTTGTGTAATATTAAGGGAACAACAAAAACAAGTTATCGCAGACATTCTCGGCATCCGTTCTAAGCGACAGACTATGTATGATGGAGAATACCCTGGTATGAGGTGGACGAAGGGAGTCCGCTACTTCTTCGACGAAAGCGCGAGTCAGTGATTAGTCTCACATTTCCTTATTCATGTATATAACAGAGAACTACGATTGTTCGCTTAATTCTTCTGAACACCCCTATACTTTTCTTCATTCAGGTGAGCAAGTTCAAAGTGTGTTCAAGAAAGCTGCACACCAGTGGATGTCTGATACATGTATCAACTTCATACCGACCAAATTTGGTAATTCTTTGATCAATTGGAAACAGTAGCAGCACTCCGCTGTACGTCCGAGTTTCAGCAGAAGACAGTATACG